GATCACAGTCCCCCCCCATTTTCCCCTGGGGCCGAGGGTCCAAGAACAGAGATCTTCTTCTCTTCTTCCTCTCTGAAGACAGGGGGCACCACCACAAACCCCCTAACTTTTCTCTGTTTGCTCCACTTCTGTCTTTTCCCAGATGAAGCAGGTCTCTTTGGCTCAACGGCATCCTCCTAAAATACAGTCTCTCTTGGAGGAGAAGATCAGTTCAGTCTGTGGCTACCAAGAAAAAGTCCAGCCCAAAAAAAGCCACTCCATCATCTCCTCCCACCTAGAATTTCTCTTTCTAACTTCCCAGTGTCCAAGCTGTCTCTCTTCCTCTCTTTCAAACCAAGGAGGAGAAAAATTTCACAAAGCTTTCATTTCTCAAGGAAGGGTTAAAAGTCCCGACTCCAAAGAATGGCTCACTGCCCAGGCTCCGGCTCCCACACGCGGCTGGGCACCTTGCGGCCCCCCGCTCTTCTCCTTCCCCGCGGTGAATGAACTGCTGACAGAACTGCTGCTGTCTCTTTCTCTCGGGGGGGGGGGGGGGGGAACAGAGACATCCCAGATTTCTCCACCCTTCCATCTGCAGGGGGGTTCCAGTCCCTTTCACCCTTCGGCCTCAGTCAGGCCATGGGCCTTCCCCTCCCCCACCCAGCCACGGGCCGGGCAGGGGAGTGTCCTGCACTGCAGGCTGGCCGGAACCAGAGAGAGTTCTCTTGGGAATTCTGTTTTTAAACCCTCTGTGTTCTCAGAGGCATGTCCACCTTCAATTGGTCAATGTCCAAATTGACCTCTTCCTTCCGGAAAAATTCTGTTTCCGTGTCAAACCACGACACTTGCCCCAACTAAACTCTTATTAGTTGTACATTATCAGGAATTTTACAAAAGCAAGTGCATTTAGCAAGTCTATTTAAAAGAAGCAAGAAGAAGGCATGAAGCATATCTATACTCTTTTAACGACAGAAAAGCCACACAGCTGATCACACCAAAATACTGAGATTATGAAACTAGTTGTTTCCCTGCTTTGGATTCCAATACTCTGTACTGTCATCACTGAAAGAACTTTTTAAATAATGAAGATAAACTATGAATATGCCATTTGACTATTCACTATGTGGCATGATTTGGTTTGTTAAAGGCTCGGATTTTAGCTACCACTAATTACAAAGTATTTATGGACAGGGCTTTGAGCAACCTTGCTTAGTTAGTGAAGGTATCCCTGCCCATGGCAGGGAGGTTCAAACTAGGTGATCTTTAAGGTCCCTTCCAACTCAAACCATTCTATGATTCTGTGATTCTATTTCAACAGAGCAATCCATGATAATAAGGAAGAAACTGCTCCATTAGAAGACTCATATAAATGGTGAACTCACATGCCAACATTTAGTTTCAAGATATTCAGGGATTATGTGATTAAAATCCCACTGGCTTGCTGGGAGGATTCTGCAAGATAACTACAAATTACTTAGAGGGCTAGTGTCAAAAGGACCTCTGTACTTATTTAGCCTCTGCTCTAGATTACTGACCCACTTATGAAGAGCTAAGCATCCCTGCTGTGCAATACCAACACCCACTCCATCTGTTTGCTTCTGCTTTCTCAGAACCTCTATTAGTCTGCATAGGAAGTTCTGTTAATTACAACATGAGCAGCTTTTGCATAGCACACACAGTAACAGCCTCACTCAGTATGTAGTCTTCTTGACAAACAGCATAGCGATCCTAATTCAACAGGATTATCAATGACATACAGTAATATATAATATGCAGATTTCTGAAGAGGCAATTTAATACATCCTTTGTCCAAGCTGCTTTCAGTTTTGAGAAAAGCTTGTATGTGTTTAGTTGCTTTAGGTTTCAATGATGAAACAGTATACTAAAGTACTGTATCAAACTCTCTGGAAATCTCCAAGTGGACGAGAAATTTGTGAAACCACAAATGAAACTTCGAGGAAATAATGCAACAGTGGGAAACAGAAACATCCCACATTTGTCAATATCTACACTGAGTATTAGTAAGTAAATCTAAAGGAAGTTTAAAAAACCCACACAAAACCAAACACAAAAACCTTCCTCAAGCAAAACAAGGTTTGAAAAGTTAGCCCAGCTGCCACATCAGAACTACGTCACAGCATCTTGGCACCTCAAACTTTCTGTTGACTAGGAAGGAAAAAAGTTCCAAATTCAGCATTTTATTATTTATCCCGGCTGATCTGCAGATTGTTAAGACATTCATTAAATAGATCTCTGTTGGAGTGTGTTTTAAGTTTCCCCCCAGTTATGGTTACTCCCTGTCCCCCTCTTCTTGTAAAATGGTCCAGCCTTCCTTCTCCTCCCTCCTCTGTCTGCCTGTCATTCCTCCCTCCACCCAGTTCATTGTATTCCTGCTGAGTTATTCCCCCCCAGCCACACCCCGGAGCCTGCTTGTCTCTCAGAGACCTCTCCCTTCCACCTAGAAAGTTCCATCCAGGGCTTTGAGTGATAGGCTGGTCTCTGGGATCCCCTCCCTCCCTCCTACCTCATTGGAAGTTTCCCCTGCGTCTCACCCCTGTTACCACCCCCAGGTGTTATCCCATTGGTTGGCTGCTGTTTCCTCCCCTTGTTACCACCCCCCTTTAAGAAAGCAGGGCAGACGGTGCCCGTGGCCTTTTGGAGCTTATCTTCTTCGAGCCAATAAACTCAGAACTCTGATACCCCCAGAAGGATGGCTCCTTGCTTTTGTCAGAGCTGCTCTGCGTGTCTTTCAGTCTGGTGGCTTCGACTTCCCACAGGCCACACCTCGTGCCCACAGCGGCACATGAGAGTTGCCTTTGCTGCCACAGTGCTACAGGTTCTGACCTAGCCGAGACTTGGTAACTTAGCACCAGCCTTAGTGGCTCCGCGGTAGAATTCCCGCCTGCCATGCCGGCAGCCTGGGTTCGAATCCCGGCCAAGGCACTACTGATAGCGAGACTTGGGAAGGCGCAGTGACAGATTTCAATCAGCTGTGTCGTTTACTTACTAAATCCAAGAACAAGAATCTCCAGAAGTCATTATAGTACTGCGTTGATATTTGTTATTTCCTGGGAACCCAGACTCCTGCTATCAAAGTGAAATAATATCAACAATCCAAAACCTAACTATGAAACTCAAGAAATCTGACAACCCTGAAATAATCTCACCCCTCAATACCAAAGCCATTTCTTAGTTTAAAATTAAACCTCGTACAATTGCCAACATCACTTCAAGAGCTCTCTAGCTACTAGCTTACTCCTAAGGCAGTTAAGAAAAGTAAAACCTAGGTCCGGTACTTGTTACAGCTTACTGTAGGATAGGAGAACAGTAAATCACAGCCCAGCAAGAACTGCTGGTCACAACATGGAGGCTATACCAAGTATCATAGAGCTTTGTATTCAGTTTTAAAGAATTATTTAGTATGTCACACAAAAGGTCATGCAAGCAGAAGGACATACCCAATGTAGACTAGGAAAACAGTGATATATTAGCATACTGTTTAAATCCTCTAGAAAAATTAGACAACTGTTCTTTTGAAATACGAATATTTACTGCCCCAGCACCCATGCAGGAGAGCTCTAGAAGATACATACACATTTTATATCAAGTGAATCTCTATATGGGATATTTAGCTTCTGTCATATGAAACACCTTGCAATTAAAGCATTTTGTCTTTATCATGGTAAAGACTTGCTAAATACATAGTCATCTTATGTCAAGTCAAGAAATACATACCCCTACAGGTTCCAATCTTAGTCTACTGATATACACCAAGACAAGAAAGAGCTAATGTTTTACTTCTGATTGTTTTCCAGCCAGCAAAAGGAAGAAAGCAGAAAGGAAACCCAGAGAATTTTGGAACTGCTCTAGGGAAGAAAATATAAGCAGAGGGCAGCGTTAGAAACAAAAGGTGGATAGAAAAGAGAAAACACAATTAGTCATTTATTCAGAGCATACTCATGATTTTCCCAAACATCTGTGTCAAATCTAAAAGAACACTAGAACCATTATAAGAGCTATAATACATTTGATATATGGAAATCATTAGTGACACCAGTCAAACCTAGTTTGTGCTATGATTAATACAAAGTTTAAAAGTAGTTGGGATGAACGTGCTAATACAGAAATTAGGGTCATAAACCAGATGCACTTTCTCTCCCCTAAAAATTATTTTAAGTGTCAAGGCGCTAAATGCCCAAAATATTCCCATGTCACCAGATCCTCTTTTTCATAGAAAAGCACACCTGTGAAGTGATTTGATACTTGTGTTGCACACAATGAGCTTGCACAGGCACCTTAGTGGTATTTCTGTACAACATGAATGGAAAACTGACCACATTATACTTACAAACATAACCCTTGCCCCTCGCACAGCAGTTGCTATGAATTAAGTTGAGAAAGACAAAGTGGTATAATGCAAGTTATTTACCTAAATTTATATACATATCAAGAGTGGAAGAACAGTTCTAGAAATATTTCAAGTTATTCAATAAAAAAGCATTTACATTAACCAATAACAAAGAATTAACACAGTCTTCAGACAGTGTGCCTCCAAAGACAAAACTTCAAAAGGGAGAATGGATACAGCTTGTACAATTTAACTGAAACTACCAGACACAACAAAAAATAAATAGATGACTGAAGTGTTGACCAAGGAAAAACTAGTCTTATTTTTAAAATGAAAGTTCAAGTATGCTCCTCTGATTATAGATAGGGTTATTAAATAAAACCATAAGGCAGTGCTACAAACTAAGAACTGTGCTAGGTACCACCAGAACACACAGAATTTGAATCTAAGTAGCAATGAAAATTGAAACAAAGATATTATTAGAAATTGTAATTTTACAAAGCATGCGATTCAGTTATGAGCAAGCACTATATAAAACCAAAATAGGTTTTAGAGACTTTGTAAATAATCAAAGCATGCAACTGATTTTTTTAGTCATTTGTTCAGCTAGCCTAAACATCCATTTACTTATTTCCTAAGTGGTTGTAACAATTTTAAACACGACAGCACTTACCTTGGAATTGTCACACATTTTGTACTGCAATTCTGAGTGGTAATTGCCTTCTCAAGCTCATCCAGCTGTCCTGTTTTCTTTAGCTTCTTGACCAAGCTTTTCACTGCTTTTTCACACCACTTTTCATCTTGACCATTCTGCTCACTACCAGCAGCCCCTCCAGAGCCACCAGCAGATTTTTTCCACCCCAGAAGTCTCTTCACAACTGGTGGAGTGAATGGCAATATGGATGACATGGCTTTCACCAGACAGAACACTCAGCAAGCAATAAATTAAAGAGATTCCCGTCTGATCCCTAAAAACACAAACCAAAACAGACACATTAGCACTGACGTTTCACATGAAACAAATACCTTGCTTTGGACTTTTTATTACCAAATGCCATAGGACCCTGCATCCCAGAATAAGTCAGATAAGTCTGAATAAAGGTTAGGTACTTCACCAATAAAATTCAAATGCAAGTTTGCTGCAGACTCTTCAGCAGTTAGCACCTACTAAGGTTACTGTTGGATTAGACATTTAATTTTTCCTCAAGTCTTTCCTGGCTAAATCCAGAAAAAAAACCAAGTTAACTTTAGTCTAGTTTTGCACCTAGGCTGGCTGGATCTATTAATTTATTAAAATGTTCTGCAAGTGATATGCACATTCTGCCCATCTCCAAATTAATTTAGTAAGCAAAATTGTGTTTGAAATGTCATTTAGTCATGACAGCTTGACAGAAGTCTTCCAACAGCCAGCCGTTTCACAAGCCTTATCTCCTTGTTTGTCATGCTTTAAATAACTACCAATTTTTGGTACACTGGGGACACCAATTTGAAATTCACCTATAAATCTGGTAATAAGCTTATTCCCATCTTTCAATCTAGAGTTCAATGGCTTACAGATAATTAATCTTCTCAACTGGCAATGCTCAAAATCATCAAGTCTTCCAAAATTTATTAAAGGATAGTTAAAATCTTAGTTTGCAGATACATGGGTAGTAGAACTGTCCATTTTCAATTTTGATAGCCTTTCAGTATCAACTACCTGATCAGGATGTTTATATGAAATGAAATATTAGAAGATATGCTGAAAGTTGGGCTATGCTTAACATTCACTACAACTTGCACTTCAAGTAATTTAAAAGAAAAATTATAGCCATTTAGAAAAAAAATCTTGGTTTTGGAGCTTCTATGACACTAGTTTTATGTATTAAAATATAAGCCCCAAACCAACCACATTATTTCAGGCAGACAGCTGTTAGAAATTGCTCAAGTACATAATGCTCTTATGGATAGAAGTATGGCATTGAAGTCAAAAACAATCTTATTTCCAGGCAACAAACTCCAGAAAGTTCCCTTATTTCCAAGCTGTATAAATTAGTTCAGTCAGCTGAAAAAAAAACTTGTTTTAGGTAAAACTTAACACTAGATTCAGTCTACTCAATTTGAGCTCTCAAGGCAGCTTACATGTCTCTACATCCTGTACAGGTACATTCCTCACTTCTATCCAGAATACACCAACTTAATCTTACTGAAGTTTCCCATCTGCAAAACAGCATGGTTGATTAGGGATACTTCAGGCTACAATATTTATGGCTAATTTATGCCTTGCCACATCTTTGCAGTTTCACTGAGAACCAAATCAACAGATACTATATTATATTCTACAAGTAACTTTAAATCGTAACTTTTCAACTTCTGCAAAACAGAACATTTAGTTGGCATGACATTTCAGTTTCAACTAAATTATACCTCCATAAACCAGCTTCTGAGAGCACCTCAAAACACAGGTGAAGCAAGAAATGTAGCTTTCTCGGATCTGGGAGACAGAGGTTCCAATTAACAGGGTCTCAAGATTTACACTGGGAACTCTATGCAAGTCATTCAAAATAATCTATAATAATCTATCCTAAATAAGTGAATCATAGAAATTTTAAAATTAAACACTGACTAGGACACTCAAGGTACAGTTTCATAGGGAGGCAAGCCAACCCAACAGCCTTCTGCCACAGGAAGCACAGCCCTCCTTTATTTCCCTGTGGCACCACCACCACTACCACCTCTGCATCTGTGCTAATACTTATCCACAAAGACTCAGCTAGATAACCAAGTAAAAACTGATTCATTTAGGGGTGGCTTTTGTTTTCTTTTTTGCTGAGTTAGTTTTCTTTCAGGTTAACAAGTTGCAGCAGCTCACACAGAGTACTGTAAGTACTCCAGCTGATGTCAGGGCAGTTACAGGAGTATGTATGGAGGACTCCAGTCCCAGCCTTCAGCAGCCATTGTAGCATTGACTGCTTTGCTGAAAATGCAAATCTGGGCATGTACTTTTAACTTAGATAATTTATTTTGGTGGCAAAGCCAAATAGGCAGTCTTACACTCCCTTTTTCGCATGTTCTGAACTGTTCACAAGCCTCGAAGTGAAACATGTTAGTCCTCTAATGCAGTACATGGAGTAACTCCAGAGATGAAACAGGAAGCTTGAATGGCCTCTGTTTTAACAAACTCTCACACTATGTTTCTGAAACAGGGAATAGCAGTCACTCTGAGTGTTATAAAAAGACTTCAATATTTGAGCAAGGCCAACATTAGATGCTTCAGAGGCATATGCAAGAAATTGTAAAATACCAAATTGAAGACGATAACCTCTTTTGCTTTAAGGATCCCATTTTAAATACTAGCAACTGATGGTGTAATACTTGAACATTAAATTCAGTGTCGAAAGGTGTGGGCAACCAAGTACCACTATCACTGCTTATCCACACACCATTTCTTCTTCCCATCTATGGAGCTCACTGAGATATAATATACGTATTTCCTGTTTAGCTTCAAATTTTTTACCTTTCATTGCCCCAGAATACTCCTTTGACTGTCAGTCTTATAAAACACACACTTCAGTACAGTCTCATTTACCACCAAGGTAAATTGCCTGTTCTCCCAGGCCCTCTAAACATTCTCAATGCTTTTATCCAATTTTTCAGCTTTACAATACTCCTTGTGATGAGGTGTCCAATTTTGAAATATTCTCTCTTAAGACTGATCTATGTATCATTTTCTGTATTCCCTGTTTTTTTTTTTTAACCAAGATTTGCCTTTATGCTTCAAATGCATATTTGAATAATTTAAGCCTTGCAGCAGGAAAGAATTTAGAAGTCCCATACATTTCAGTTTTTCTGTATATTTGAACTCTCACACTATTTTGACATATTCAGAGGGGAAAAAAATATAAATCATTCTTTTCCCACTTCCAAAAGACTCTAAGCTCAGACCTAACTAATTGGAAATTTCCAGATACGATACTTAGTTTAAACCAGTTCCCTTATAGATGTGTACTCACCCAGCTTCTCTAGAAGCTCTCAGTGTTTGATCTGCTACCCCAGTGAAAAGTAGCTTTAAAAAAATATAAACCACAAACGGATACACTTAAAGAGCCCTTTATTACAATGACAGCTTAGCAGCTATAAAAAAAAAAAAGACACAAAAAAGCCCACAACTTACACCACAGCTGCAGACTAAGTTTGGGAGGTTTAAACTAGCTTCTCCTTTCTAGCTATTGTTTTGCCATGTCAGGGATTTGCCAGGAGTATCAAAAAGAATTTCACTAAGTTATTCTAGTAGTGGCCCTGTATCTTTCAAAGGGTAAGCAGAGAAAACATGACACAAGTAGGACAGGACTTCATTCATCTTAATACTTCAGCCAGTTGTGATGACTACTCACAGGAGAGCAGCACTCTGCTCCAAGCCTAGAAGAGACAGTGCAAAGTGCAAGGCATGGTTAGGTTGAATTATGAGCAATTTAGATAAATGCAAATTATGCAAGGAAAAAGAAGTAATAAAGAAATTAATAAAAAATACCTTACTCTGCCAGGAGTGGTACATCCAGCCTAGCACTCCATTTCCAAAGGTGGCAAAAGGACATGCTACTCAAGGAAAGCACAAGAACCTGGCTCTTTTCTGAGCCTGTTCTCATAATTCTTCAGCATCTTAAACTGTTACAGCAGTGAATTAAAAACTACATGCCTACCCATTCCCTTTAGCAGACATTTATGGACCTCCTGCCCAAAAATTCATCTAACCACTTTTTGAACCTGTCTCCACCACCTTGTGGCAGACTGCACCAGAATTTAACTGCTCACTGTTTAAAGAACTACTTTTAGCTATTTTCTTTATCATCTTAGTTTCAAAAAGTGCCTCTTGCTCTACTGTTGCAAAATGTGGAATATGTAAAATTTTCTTAAGAAGGAATGTTCTTTGATCTTTATATACTTTCAAGCCTAATCAACGAGAAGGGAGATTTAATCCATGAAACAGAGAGCAGCTAACAAGCTCTAAGTGATGTCCAGGTGTTACAAACTACTTCTTGGTAGAATTGCCTTGTTAAGGTTTAGAGCTCCACATGTTTCAATGATCTCAGGGGGAAGTTAACAAAGCTTGGCAAGAAAGATGCACCACTGATAGTGGACACAAAGAATGCAGACTTTACAGGCCACAAGGACGTTTGGCAGACCTCCCAAGATAGAGAAACTAATAAAGCAAACTCAGCAACTGTGCTGAATCAGCTCCAACTGGGTAAAAGGTAATTCTGGCAGGAGGAGATCACAACCACAGACTTACAAACTACTGACCCAAGAAACCCACTGACTCAAGAGAAAGACTAAGCATGCAAAATAATTAGCATTAGAAGCAAGGGAATCATTAACCAATAGAAGATAGAATATTAATTAATAAGAGAACTATGTAACTTGCAGCCAATGAACACTAATTCCTTTGTTTGCTAAAATGTATAAATAGTAAAAAGTTTTAATACTTGGTCTGCTTGATTTGTGGGATGCCACTGAGCACCCAGGCTTGTGCAACTCTGAAATAAATAATCAATGTCTCTCTCGAGTGTGTAATTATTGGCTTGTTGCATGCCAGGTAATGAATCTGATTTTTGAGGACAACACTATCACTGCAAGCTTTGCTGAAGACCTGTTTTTATTCATCTTGCCTGCAAGCTTCATGATTCTGTACATTTTAATCACATCCCTCCCTCAAATGGAGGGCTATCATCAGCCTTTTGTCACAAAGAAAGTATCTGAACACAGCTCATACAGTTTGGGATGCTCCTCTGGAGAGATGCCAAGCCTGAAAGCTTTACTACTTCAATTAAATTACAAATACTCAAATACATTGCCTAAGGACTGACCTAAAGACCACAGAAAAATTGTATCAGTCTATGGTTATCTTCTCACTTATCTTTTTTGTCATATTATCCTAAAGCTCTCAACATTATAATTTAAATAAAAAGTACAAAGACAGAAATCTATACCTCATGAGGGACTGGACATAGAAGGCAGAGTGCATATGTGATGCTGAATATCTGGCAAAAACACAAATAAAAATGAGGAGCCCTACACCTGTGCTGGGTTCTAAATATCTACCCAGTCTCAGACACTATATCTATGGTAACAGGTTTAGGAGTCACTGTTTCAGCTTATTTTTGACCAGTAAATCCCATTTCAATTAATCAACTAACTTTTCCCTTCAAATTGATACAGTAATATAGGTTTTGATCTTTGTTCCTAAAGAATCATCCTCTTATACACTGGCACTGTTGATATGAGCCTCTTGCTAAACACATCCTTCTAGTTCTTTTGCCTTGTACATTTTCTTCATTCACCAAAAAAAAAAAAAAAAAAAAAAATGCTTTTTCCCCAAACACACCCAGAAAACAATCTTTGCCAACAATGCAAGAAACATTTCCACATTGCTAAATTGGCTGCAAATTAAATACATGCTAAATATGCAATATCCCCTCTTCCTTGCCATGTTTTTTGTGATTTCCTTGTAGTCTACCACCAACCATCTCAAAAAAAATGAGCACACATTTGCAGCCTTTGCTTCTAAGTATTTCAAGTGTGCTTCACAATCATTTATTCTTTTTACTTCCTCTTTTTTTTGCTCACTCTCTTCTACTGAGGCCCAACACCACAGCCCAAATCTGATTTTTAATTCCCATGTACTCTTTTCAATTTCTACTACAAGACCCCAACATACAGGGACTCTGAGTAACTGCAGAGAGATTTTTAAGATCCCTTCCTGAGCTCAACTATAGGTGAACTATTAGTATCAAGGCAGCAGTGCAATATATAGCAGAAAACTTCCACTATTTTATCCCTTTCCACATTCTCTGGATTGTGCCTTAAAACTGCAGTATTGAATACTCAAGGTGCACTCACTGTTGCCCAGAGAGGTACAAGAGTTTCTTTAGATTGATGGAATACATGCTGTTATTCCAAATAGATTAATACTGGAAAAGCTACAAACTGCCTAGCTCTGGTGATATTTATTTAATCTCTGTCCCCATAGTATCTCTGCTTCTTGACACACGCATTTCTATAGTGTGTCAGTGTCATAGTTGGCAGCTTCTAAAGTCACAGCTTGAGTCATGTCTGCTATTTATTCCATTCTGCTGTGGTCCTCTGGAACAAGTATTAAGCCCATTATCCCAGCAATAACTAAGCATAAAATACTAAGTAAACCCTAAAGACAGCATGCTATCAGACTAACATCTTCAAGAGAAATTTTCCTTTCCTGAGTAACTGGAACATACTATAAACATACTGGTGCTACCAAAAGTATCAAGTGCTTTCTGGCTAATTTATTCTAAAACCTTATGCAACATATTTCATATCAGTCTGCTTATTCTTCTTAAACTTGAAAACAAAGAAATCTGATCTCTCTTAGTTTTACTAGAAACATTCTGTCTTAGAGGAATTTCATTTGCAAGAGCTGTTCTGGAATAAAGAGTACATAAATTAAGCTCCTAAGGAAAGAAGGTCAAGGAAAATAATTAGTGGTATTTGAGAGAGAGTCTACAAGCTCATTTCCTCAATTTTAGTCCCATTTCTGAGATTTTTTTAAGGCGATTTTTTTTCATTACTCTTGGAATTTGGACAAGATTATCAATTTCACCAATTGCACAATGTTTCAGATCTTTCAGAAGACAAGGGTATATCCACCCTTTCCCTTCACATATGCCCAAGTGATATTACTGGTTTCACAATAAAGTGACATTAATTGAAGCATAGTCTATTTAAGGCAGAATCAAGACCTTAGGTTAAACAATAGTGGGAGTTGAAGTTTTAAAAGGCATTGTTTACGCAGTACTTGCATGTCTCCAATATGAAGTCAAAGTCATTAAGATTCAGAAAGACAATAAAACAAATATTTCATCTTGCATCGAACAGAAGAAAAAAATAATTTTTTGTCTGCTTCTCGATCCTTCAGGCTGTGTTAGTCCATCCAAGGAGACAGTTTATTCTCTGTGGAATCTGAGAAAGTTCTCTGTGTTAATGATCTCAGCTTGCAGGAAACCTGAATTTTGCATAAACTTCAAATTAAAATCAAAGCCAGTTTTTTCCCTTTCAGATAGAATACACTCTAGTTAAATTACATAGTATAACAGACAAGAGAAGACATTTCACTTCTATTGCAGCCACAATCCCTCCAAAAACTGTCTTTTGCAATTCCATAAGGGCTAATTCTTTCTCTATAAATGAATATTAGACACCTGGTTTTGTCATACTGGAGAAGCTCAGGCCTACTGCCACATACATACTTTTCTGAAAAACAACCACACAAGAAAATGAGATGGTGCTCATCTTCTCTCCTCATATTTCAGTCATAGCAGGACAGATTTGAGTATTCCCTTACTAGGTTTTGGGTGTTAGGGTTTTAGTTTTTTTTGCTTTGGAGGAAAGGGAATGCAGCCCTACTGAGCAATGCCCTCAAATCTAACTCCCAGTTCAGCTTTTCAGCCAATTAGCCCAGCAGTGGGGAGTGGCTCTGAAGAGCTCTCTCCCAAGGGGATCCGTCTGGTCAGCTCACAGCCCTAGGTTCCAAGGAGTAAAAAGCCATGGTCCTGGTTGAGCTTTGACATGAGTCAATGAGGCAGGCTACTTGTGATCCGGGGGGACAGGAGCAACAAAAATTCTTGCTCTGGGTCAGCTTTAGAATGAGAATTTCAAACATGCCTACAGAGACTCAACATACTCAATTTTTAAGTATACTATGCTCTAGTATTGCAATGCATCTTGAAACTCTGCATAACTGTAGTACCTTTAGCTCACTGAAAACAGAAAATTGCACTCTATGTAACACATTCATTCATGGTATACTAAAATTGCATGCAACTGGAGACACAAGAAAGATGTTAATTTTACTAACCTTTGATGAAAATACTAATAGGATTGAGGTATTTCAGCAACTCCCCTAGAATGAGGAAATTAGGAAAATTACAACTGCGGTGAGCCAATTCACCTGTTTCTGCAAAGCAGTAAACTTCTTCCACTTAGTGTTATGAACAGTCTAGCAGTATTGCTCCTTAAAACTAGAAGGCCATAATAGCCCCACAAAAGCACCAAAGAAGCACTCCAAACCACAGCAGTTTAAGCCCCTACCTCATTAATTTTGACTAAAATTTTTCATGTGTAACAAAGTGTCAATTTCATTATTTTAGTAAATACTCCTGGGCTAAATTTGACAGGCATATTCACAGAACTGATTATCAGGTACCTAGGTACCTGTTTCAGTTTTTATCTGTATAGCTTAGCAGCTTCTCCACTTCACTAAACCCCAAACAATTGCATTTAACAAACAGTTAATGCAAGATCACTTTAAATACAGGCTAAACATAAACATTTCTCAAACAATCCCCCGTGTTAAGCAGAGTTCACTTTGCATCAGCTCATATTGCTCCAGTGTAATTAAATTTAGCTTGAGTTCCAGACTAAACTGATAGGACACCCAGGAACTGCTCTCTCAGTCTCTTTTTGGTGTTACTTGACCACTTATGGCTGTCACCCATCATAATAATAAAAAGTCATATGGAATGAAGCCTTACTGTTTGTAACAGTTTCTCTATTGAAAGTGGAGAGGAACGTTTAGGAAGGTTCTCTGCAGTAGCCCAGAGTACTGAACACAGGGCTGCCTGTACTCTCCATTCTATTACAAAAAAAAAAAAAAACCTAATCCCATCGCATGACCTGCAGTAATTCAGTTTAACAAATCAGCAATTATATATATTTTGGCAAAGTAAGCTTAGGTATTGTTTGCCTCTCAGCACACTTCACAATCAGTTAATGGCTTTATGATAAAAGTAATTAAATCCATTCTGAAAAGCAGAATTTACAGCTCACTGAGCAAGTCAGGCCCATAAATGGATGCTTTAAATCACAGGGCATTTATATGCACAATCATTAAGGCAGCATTGAATATATTTGAAAGCTCAAAAACACTTTTGATAATAATTAAAACTTTTGTGTGCTGTTCTTTATACAAACAAAACTTAGGAATTCATTTCAGTCTCAAGCAGAGATCAGTCATTATCCAGGCCTGTTCTCACAATACTTTTGTGGGAAAAGGATTACAGAGGTGGAAAGAAGTTTAAGTTCTGTTTAGTAGCCGAGAATTTTTTGGAGCTCAAAGAAACTCAATTATATCAACTGGTGCTCAACACTTCTGAAAGATCAAGTAGAACAGGAAAATAGAGGACCCAGAAGGGGCTTTCATTTGGAGATTCACTGTAATTATTTGATTTTTTTCTGTTTGGAATAAAAGAAGAGATCTATTAAGAGACCAATGATTTTAACCTCATTTTTCCAATTGTGGTGCTCTTTTTATTCATTAAGCAGAACCTCAGGAAAGTTGACAAATTTTTCTCCAAGATTATATTACATAAACCCAGCTTCTTCCATAAAGAAAACTGGATCTTCAAAGACTCTCATTCCTTTTGGTGACTGTCAGTGTAGTGTGAGTCTGACCCACACAACTACCAGGTTACTCTATTAAAATCACAATATGGTCTTAAGTATGTGCTTAGACTTAACTTTGAGTTAAATTTAAGCCACTTTAAATGAGACCCTCCCCTTTCTCTTTTTAAAGGCATTTGTAAATAATGCTATCTTTCATTATGATAGTGCTAAGCAAACAGGGAAAGGGACTTCACAAACCTCCTGTTTACTTACATTCTCATTCTCCTCTAATTCACTAGTCTGTAAACATTAAAGTTTTAAAGCTATACCTCAGAACAAACACACAGTCAATCTACTCACACAATGCAAGCTCCAACACTGCAGTGAAGCATAGGAAAGAAGAACAACGTTGCTATATAGACTAAGGGAAGCCTTTCACTTTAACAAGAGGGGGTTTTGTTGGTTTGAGGTTTTTTTCCAGTTTGGAGAACAGAGCAAAAACTGTCGCTCACTAGAGAGTCCAGTCCAGTCCAGTCTCCACAGAAATAATGTCACAAATCAATCTGAAAGTACAGTTCTCCAGGCTAAGAGGAACACTTAAGAAAAGACAAACCTGCTGTTACGTGCAGTTTCCTAATAAGCTGTTATTATAAAGTTTTTGTTACATATGGAATCTGACTCATTTATAACCATGAACTGTGATAACATGAGCCCTACACAGGTTGCAGCATTTACTAGCACTATTTTCAGAAATAGTTTGATGGTAAACCCAGTAAGCAAAACTGTTTTTTAATGCTATCCACTTGTTTGTAAAAAACTTGAAAACACCACAACACCCCCGTTGGGTTTTTTTTAGTCAAAACCTGCGACAGACAAACAAAAATACATGGGACTAGGGTGCAGTGTGAATTCCAGCTGTTCAATTCAACAGCTCTCCAAGGCTATCACAAGAGCTCTTAATTCACCCACTTTTTAGCCTTCTTTTATTTCCCCAGAATGAAGACTAAAAGACTAGTGTTACACTTTTTCTCTTCCCCTCCAAAAAAATTACAAATAGGAACTCCACAAAATTACAAAAAAGAACTCTGCAGTAACACCAAGTACTTGCATTTATCACAACACAACTTCTCCCATGTGCTTATCTAGGTAGATGACATACTTAACAGATAATGTTTGTTTACATCTTACAACGCATGGATAGCCACAGCATTAAAACTAATACCATGAAGAAAACCACTAATCAATCCCCATATACACGTCTCATGTAGACTGTGTATATTTCACATCCACGGTTCTGGAATACACAAAAGAGCACTGGCTCAAGTGAAACCTTGCAATCCTAAACACTTCTTTCCAACTTGCTTCTAGCTTTCTGCACCACTCCAGCACAAATCCTTGCACACCTAACCTCTGAAAGAAAAAAAGTCCAGTCAAGAGAGGGAGGAGATAAAAGAAAAGCACATATTCTTTTTCCCCCTTCTCCCTCACCCCTCATACACACAACGAGGGCGCAGGCCAACCCTTCCCACCTTTCAACACCCCGCGTCGAGGGCTATTCTGGCGTGCAAAAGGCGGAGGTGACAGCGACACCCCCCGCCCCGGCCCCACTTCCTGGAAGCAGACCCTGTGAGCAGCCAGCAGGAGCCAGCGCCCCCCCCCCCTCCCGCGGCAGTTTCCTTCCGCCAGGAGAGGCAGCCTCCCGAGCCGCCACCGCCACTGAGGCCCACTGCGCCTGTTTGCCGCCCTCAGCGCCAGCAGCGCCCCACCACAACAAAGAGTGAAGAAGTGCGTGGAGAGGAGTCCCCGTCTCCCGCCGGGACCAGGCCGGACCTAATCAGCCCATACACCGCCGACGGGGCACTCCTTCCCACAGCGCTCGTCAAAACCATCCCAAAACAACCCCAAAACCAACCTCCTCCTCAGCAAGCAGCCCTGCCGCCCTACTCCCTCAGCGTTGCTCTCCCCTGGACGCCCGCCCTCCCCACACCCATTGGCTCCCGCTCAGACCCGCCCCCAGCAGTGGGCGGGGAGGCGGCGCATTGGTTCGGCCATTCGTCACTTGAGAAACAGTGGGCGAGGATTGGGCAACAGTTGCCAAGGCCCGACCCCAGCCGCCGATTGGCGCATTTAGCCGCCAATCGAGTGCACGCGACCCGAAAAAAAAAAAGGAAAGGAAAAAAAAAAAGAAACGAGACGAAGAGAGATGGATCTGGCTGGGTGCGGTGGTGTGCTTCGCGCGGCGAGGGCGGGGCGGTGCTTATTGATCACTCCTCGTTCCACGCGCCCATTAAGGGTGGTTGATCAAGAAAGGACAATCGGAGCGGAAGTTTGAGCTACCCGCAGGCGCGTGGCCGCACTGAGGATGAGCGCGTGCGCGCCGCTGCCTTAACGTTCCGTGCCGGGCGCAGGTGGGAGCTGCGAAAAGCAATGCGCTGTTTCCCGACAGAAATTACCTCAGGAACCGCGGCGGACCCGGCACGGTGACACCACCCTCCCACCACCCCCCCCCCCCCCCCCCCCGCTCCGTTCATCCGGACCTCCTGCCCTCAAACGGCCAATAAAGCCGTAACTAAATCGAGGTTTAAATGTTCCTTGGATGAGGGAGGGTAAAATCTCTTCCCTCAGAGTCCGGGTGTTGGGAAGGATAGATAAATATGATTGTCTAGCAGAAGAACCACAACAGTACAGCCAGGATGAATATCATGCCCCCTACTGGCTGGACAATACCCTTACCTACAGAGGGGTCCAAAAGTCAAATGAACTGTTCCATCTCACCCCTCTGAATGTATGGTTCATCCCACACCTGTAACCCTCCCCTGAAACATCAAGTGTCTGTAACCCCATTGGCCCAAGTCCAGTTCCAGCCCACCTTGAAGCCCCCCTGATAAGGGGCCTCCGAAGGGCCAGACTCCCTCTTGGATCTTCCCCTCCCCTCTTGGAACTTCCTCCCTCCTCCTGGATTCCCCCTCCTGGATTCCCTGCTCTTCCCTTTGTCTCACCCCCCCCCCCCCCATCGCCTCAGGCCCGGCCACGTGCTGTGTCTAGCAGCTCGAGGCAGGGCCTCTCTCCATCCCGAATAAACCTTATCCTCCAAGAGCAATCAGCAGAGATCTCTCGTCTGTATCCACCCAAACCATCCCATCACCTCACATGTCTTTACATCCGGGTACGGATGGGAACCACGGTGACCCTTCAGGGGCACAATACTGCACAGTCCCCGCAGCTATGGTGAGGACCCCAGCCCTCACCAGGCCCCTTTTCCCTGATCCCATCCTGAATCTTTTGGTCGACAGCAGCCGAATATGAACCAGCATGTGCCCAGGTGGCCAAGAAAGCCAAGGGTATTTTGGCTTGTATCAGCAATAGTGTGGCCAAAAAGACGAGGGCAGTGATTGTGCCCCTGTACTGGTGGGGCTGCACCTGGAGTACTGTGTTCAGTTTTGGGCCCCTCACTCCAAGAAAGACATTAAGGTGCTGGGACATTAAGGGCAATGGAGCTTGGGAAAGGGGCTGAAAAAGTCCTGTGAGGAACGGCTGAGGAAGATGGGGGTGTTTAATCTCAAGAAGAGGAGGCTGAGGGGAGACCTCTCTCTATAACTGCCTGCAAGGAGGTTATAGCCAGGTAGGGGTTGGTCTTCCCTCCCATGTAACAAGTGACAGTGTCACTGAAATCATTGGGATAAATGAGACTCATTAACACTGTCTTTTTGATGTTGGCAAGTAAGATATTACTTTAGTCTTGGCTAAGAGGTGTGTGGAGGGCTGACAAAGTTCTGGCCTCCACACAGATGCCTATACAAAACTTTTTCACTTATTTATGCATTTTCAGCAAACAAATACATTAATATTCATTGGTTCTAAGTTACATAATTATTTTCATTAATTAGTATTCTATCCTCTATTGGTTATTGATTTCCCCCTATTCATGTTAATCTGGTCCACATTCTTTAATCCTTTTGCTATCTTTTTCTCAGGTGGGGAGTCTCCAGTTTTCCAGGCCTTAATCTCCTCTGTATCTTCTGGTGTTTTGCCAGTAGGCAGAGTCAGCACCAAAGATGCATACACAAACTTAAGGAACAAGTGTAATTTACTATAATGCAAAACTGCAAAGAATTACAAAAGGATAAGCTAAGCAATGCACATAATCATTACTACAAAACATTGGCTATAGTGATTAAGAAAGATACATCACCAGTTACCCTAATACTTAACTCCTACATCCAGGTCTGCGCAACAGCTGGGGAAGCTCCTGTCACAGCGAAGGACTGGAGAGACACTCCCAGCAACTGGGAAATCCCGCGTGGTTCATCCACCCACAGACAAGGCTTCCAACTTTGCTGTAAGAAGGCCCAGGTTTTATATTGTTGAATAAACAAGCTGACATAACTTCTACCATGGGAACATCTGGTTTCATCCTCCCCTTGGGTTTTTCCCAAAGCCTGGCCAGGGCTCAAGGATGAAACAAGGGAGTTGTCTTTGATCATACACCTCCAAACAAAGCCAAATGTCTGATTTCATGGCCTTATCTGGCTTCTAAATATGAAAAGGTAAATACATGGTTCACTAATGATACATATATCATATTGCTAATAATACTTCATTAATGAGTGGATACATATAACATTTGGTTAGATGGTTCATCCAGATGTCAACATTGGCTCAAGGCCTGTTGTTCAGGCCTTAGTACTTCATCTGGTTACTCCAACGTACTTGAAGTGCCATACATTTAAGATCCCAGATGCCCAGTATTCAAATCTTTTTGGCTTTGTTTATTGAAGCTTGTCAGGGTTAGTTTTAAAAAACTCGAGGTTTCAGTAATTTAATGATCAAAGTAACAATAAGAGTCTGTGAAGAAACTTAACTAGTGCTGGCTAAAAGTGGATGCTGCTTACAATTAATTAAAACAACTAATTAAAAATTAGTTAGGAAAGGTCTATCATTTCCAACAATTTCCTCCTTTGTAAGTGATCTTAATTACTTTTTTTAAGATTACTTCCACTTAAATCATTGAGTGTTTAGCAAGACATAAGACACTAAAATGCAATAATCACTATTAATAAAACTTTAGAAAAAAACATTTAAATTATCTAGTACCTTAACAATACTAATCAAGATTCTTAACACTAGATTTAAAAAACCCTTAATTTTCAAAAAAATTCCATTATCCAGACTAGCCAGACATCTTTTTGAGATCTTTTTCAGTTTTAGAAAAGATAGTTTTTGTTGGATCTATACATTCTATTACATCCTATTTTGCAATTTTGGAATCAAATACATAAACCAACAATTAATATCAAAACTATGATAATTATGCCAATCAGTTTTCTTGCTATTGCACTTAAATTTGGGATTCATTATGCTATTCAATTAAACACATCTTCTACTTGATCACTTGATATGGTCCTTTCCACCTTTCTCAAAGAAGTTCTTCAATTGAGGTTTTGAGGTACACCCAGTCTCTCGGTTGGTAGGGATGGGCAGTGATGTCCAGCATCATGGGTGCTGCCAGTACAATGTATCTGTGGAGAGAAGACACCACCTTCCCTAGGGATATAACATACTCTGTTAGACTGATTCACTATTTCTACTTTCCTGCTCAACTGAGATCTCCATGAGGTGTGCAAGTCCCATTTCACCCCTAACATTTTAGCTGGGCTTTGCCCTATTTCAGCAGTGATGTGTGAACCTCTGACTGATGACATTCCCACTGGCACTCCAAAGCTCAGGATAATTTCTTTCAATGACACCAGTCATTCATATGCTCAAAACTTGAGTCTTCAATATTACTACTATAGACTCTATTCCCCCATTAGTTACCTTATGTTGTTCCCCTGCAATTTTCCTCATAAGGTGTTGGGGAATTATTACCTCTTTGTTCGGTATAATCCACTATCCTTCAGGACTCTTTTCAGCATCTAACAATTTTGCCAATTTCTCATCTTCAGCCTAATAATTTGCAGCCTCCTTGTCCAAATGCCGATATTTCTCAGGTAAGACCAACAGGATGTAGAAGCAAGGGACTTCTTATAAAATAGGGAATGCTAGACTGGATAAGACGCAGATCGAGCCAATATGGTTAAAGCTACGTTCTCCGTTTATTGTCTAAAAGATGGCAGTTTATATACACTTCAATATAGTTTACAAGTTGTGAACATGCTATCATTGGTCAGTAAACATTGTTTACCTTTGCCTTAAGGTGGTCAGGCTTTTCACACTGCAGCTCTACCCTAATTCACACTCAGAAAGCTCATTACTTGGTGGTTACCTTAACATAATTTCTAACTGCGCCACAACTAGTTTCTTACTGTGTCAAGGCTTTCAGGCCCCACCAAGGCCGCTTATCAGGGGCCTAGTCTGAGGGGTAGCTCAATTCTTACTCTAAGTATAAATCATGTCCTGTCTCTCTCAGAAATGTTACAACAGGATGTCTCCACTGGCAGCCTCCTAAGGTGCTTTGTCAGCCAGGCAATTTCCAATATTCACTGGGGTCTCTCTTAATTAATGAGCATTATTGTAATCTTTTGAGGTAGCTATACCCCCTCTAACAATCTCTTTATAGTTCATGTTTCACGGGGGATCCCTGAGAGGTGTACAGCCAAATGGCTGCATGGGCATGGACCACTCCGAAAGCAAATTTTGAGACAGTCCATATATTTACAGTCTTATCCTGTGAGACCTCTAACATTATCATCAGTGCAATCACTTCTGCTTTCTGAACCGATGTTTCTGGGATTAGAGCTTTGGCTTCTATTACCTCATGCTGAGTTACCACTGCATACCCTGCTTTTCAGATTCCATTTTCACAAAGCTGCTCCTGTTCATGAAGAGTTCCCAATCAACTTCTTCCAAGGGAGTGTCCTGTAGGACATCTTGAGTATGTGTCCTAGTTTAGGGCAAATTTGGGAGAAAAACCTCTGGAAGGAGCCCCCAGAAAACAAACCCCCACGGCCCCTCCCCACCCACCT